TGGCATCCAAGCTGAGCGAGTAATTCCATTATTTGTGATGACTGTCATTACTGTCAGATAAACTCGAATTAAGAACAATAATCAGATGGTGCTCAAGTATATTAGACTGTCTGTGACAATAATATTGTTATTTTGGTAACTAACCAGTTAGGAGAAGTGAATATGTCTAGTTAGGTCAGGTCTGTTAATTTTTAATTTTGGCAGCTCTGGAATGTCCCTTTGGTCAGCTGGGATCCCCTGTCCTGGCTGTGTGCCCTCCAAACTTCCCATCACCCCCAGTCTCCTCCCCAGTGTGGCAGGACAGGGAGCAGGAAAGGCCTTGGCTCTGTGTGTGCTCTGCTCAGCAATAACAAAAACATCTCCATTACCAGCCTGTGTTCAGCACAGATCCAAAGCACAGCCCCTCCCAGGCACTGTGAAAACAATTCTCTGTCCCCCAGCCCAAAGCAGCCCAGTGCCCAGTGTGCAGAGGCTAAAAGGGGACTTGGATGCCCTCTGGAATAGCTGGGGGTGTGTATCTTGTGGCTCAGGCGTGGGTGGGTGGCTGTGGGGAGGCTGCTCTCTCCATGCTGACACAGGGTGGGCTTGTGCTCTTCTTCAGGGGACTTGGCTTAGGATTTTTTGAGGTTGAAACCAACTTTTTAAATTGTTAGACCGTGACTGACCATGTAGAAGTTTGAAATAGCATTATCTTATTCTTTAGATCAAAGCTGAAAATAGAAGATATAAAAGAAGCCAACAAAGCATTGCAGGTCAGTAGTACTTTGAGGAAAGAAAACTTTTTTTTTTAACTGTTCCTTTTGAAATCTTTAGTACCTCAAGCATGTTCTCTTTGCACCTATACTTGCTCTGTCTTGTCTCCTTTTGGTTTTTGGGGTGTTTTGGAGCAGTCCTGTGCTGCTGTAGAGTGTCTTTGTGACATTACACTGGTCCCAGGGCACTGAGCAATTCAGGCAGTGAATGTTCTGCTCTTGATTTGTCTTGTCCCCTGAAGCCCAAAGTTTAACTTCATTAGGTACATACAATTATGGTAATTTTTCCTTCAGGGCCAGGTTTGGTTGAAGGACAAAGAGGCCACACATTGCAAGTTATGTGAAAAGGAATTTTCGCTTTCCAAAAGGAAGGTAAAACTTTTAATAAAATTTCTTCCAACGTGTTTGTAACTAATATGAGAAAAAAAAGTTAATTATCTTAGAGGTGTGCCATGAAGTGTAAATGCTCAGGTGAATGCAGAGTTATTATTGAGGTGTCTTTCTAGTTCTTTGATACATACGATGCAGCTGGGCCCTAATTTCAAAAGAAACGGTGTCTTTTGGTTAAGTGCCACAAAGGAATATTTTAAAACTTTAAAATTATTTAAGTACTTTGTGGAATCCTCATCTCAAACACATGTCAGCTCTGGCACTGTTGCAGTCTGACGTGTGGAAGTCTTTTTATGACATCTTTTTATACAGTGGAGTTAGAAAATGTGAGTTTATTGTCATTTTAAAGTAAAATGTGATGGTAATTTCCATGCTTTAATAATGTATGCAGGAATTTTCGTCTTACCTTTTTATGTTAAATCTCAATTTTCTACCTGACAGAAGCATCCACTGTTTGGAATATCATTGCTCAGGCTGTATTTTTCTACTGCAGAATATGTGCTTAATCCAGAGTTTGAGTGCAATCTGCAAAGCATATATATATAAATGAAAAAGTAATAAGGCCCTAGAAGTAATAAATGTATAAGGACCTAGACCACTGTGGTGCAGTCCTAGATAAACATGATCTGTGTAGGATTGCATCATAATTTGGGACGTGGGTGAATTCCCTTTCGAAGGCTGATTCCGTGCTCAGACCCAAGAAGTGAAAGGGGCCACATTTCGGATTGCTCTGTGTATATTGTTTATTTTTCCCAATTGCCGAGTACATTTCCGTTGTAAATTTAAACTTTTAATCTTCTCCCCACTGTTTAGCATCACTGTAGAAACTGTGGTGAGATCTTCTGCAACGCCTGTTCTGACAATGAGCTGCCTCTGCCCTCCTCACCGAGGCCTGTCCGGGTCTGTGACTCCTGCCACGCAATGCTCATACAGAGGTGCTCTTCTAACGTGCCCTGAGGTTGTGTCACTAGATATTTATTAGTTCTGGTGTTCAGCTATTCCTGTAGAAAACCCAGCGCCACCTAAAGAATGTACAGCAGTATTTCCAGGCTTCCAGGTAAGCAGTGTAGAGTTGCAGTTTTGAGGTGCACTGGAGGAGTCACTTCTCTGCTTCCTCTTGAAACCAACAGAGAAAATGGGACCCAAATGTAAAAAATGCACATGTGGAAAAAAAAAACCCCAAACAGATGAGGATGTTGGTCTAACAAATGGCTCAGCATCTCCTTTGGAGGAGGCAGGGCAGCTTATAGAGGAGATTCAGTGTTAACATTTGGTGGGTATTTTAGTTGTTGAGATGCTCTTCAAAGAGGTGATGCACTTCCCTGCTTTTACAGGCTACTCTGCCACAAGTCCAACCTGATTCTGCCCCTCAGTGTGCCTGTGATACGTTGTTGTGTAGCTAAACCGTGCAGTAGCTCGTTTTCAATTGTTTTTTAAAAAAGTGTGGCCATTAATGCAGTGCTCTGATAAGTTCTTGCCAAATACCATATTTGTTTACTTCCTCTTAGTTACCAGGACTTGATGCATCCAGGAGTATTGCACTGACAGCTCTGCTCTGTGGAGTCACAGGTGGAAGGGGAGATTTTGTCAGGGAACAAGCAGTGCCTCGGGCACTTGCAGAAGGAAGGTGTGTTTTGGTGAATGATTTTTGCAAATGAACTGTTAATATGATGTATCTGTGTTTCCCTCAAAAGAGAGCTGTCCCTCACAAACCTTTTGCCTGACACTGTAACTTTGAACGCACTTCTTTGCATTATTTTCGTGCAAGTCATGCTCTCAGGCTGTCCCTGTAGTCAGTATGTAGCTCTAGAAACCACCAGGACAGCCTGGGATTAAATACCAGGGACCACATCCTTTCTGTGTTGCACAGGAAAGTTCTTAGTTTGTCACCATCTCCCTCAAACTTGCAGAGTTTGTTCCTAAACTTCATTTTTTTCCAGAGCACCTTTGAGCCCCCCCACTCTGTCGGCACTGACAAGCCCTCAGCAGAATTACCAGCCCAGGAGCTCCTTCAGCTGTGGGCTTGGACTATTCCTACTAACAGGAAAAGGGAGGCTTGGGACCAAGTCTTCTAGTTGTCCTTGCACTTTGTTTAGCTTAGCTTTGTCTCTGGGGATAGGGATTTAGTTAATATCCTAAAATCCAGCATAGCTGTTCTTTTCAACACTCAATGTAGTTGCTTATGTAGCTTTTGTAAAGAAAAATGTTTCTAAAATGACCTGATGTAACTTTTTGTAAAATACCAAACAAATACTTGTAAATGTGTAAATAACTTTTGGAAAAAAAATAAATTTAATTGATCTGCAACTTAACTAAGGGAATAATGTCACTTTATTTAAATCTGTAATTGAGAGAATTGTATTTTATGACTTGTTCATGATGCTTAGAAAATTTTTGCCTGTGCTGGGGAGTGGGGAGCTATCCTGCTAAAGACACAGTCAAGTGCTGCTCATGTGCCTCCTGAGAGTATTCCCAGAGTGTTTTCCAGTGGGCACCGGAGGCAGCAGGGGTTGATGTAGGACGTAGATGACGCTAATCTGTACTGCTTTAATAAGTAACTTCTCCAAAAGTATGCAACTGAACAGAAGTAATTTTAAAACAGGCAACTTTTTAAAGTGGATTTCCATAAGATACACTAAATTACATTTCTGTTAGTTAACTGCCATCTTTTCCTCTCCTCTGTGCTACCCTCTTTGCAAGGGGAAAAACGTGCAATTACTCAGATTGTTTTTACTGTCTCCAAGTAACATTTTTCCTTGATCAGACTGGTGAATGCTGACGTTCCCTTGCATTCAAACCACATACCTGGCCAGCTTTTAAGGTTTTTGGAGCACACTATGACTAATGCTGTATCTTTGTGTTTCTGTAAAAGCCTGCTTTTAGATTGATTCTAAATCCTCCTCACAGAGCACAGGAAGAGCTGTGGGGTACCAAGAGGGCCTGTAACAGGATCAGAGGAGCCTTTTATTCCTCCTGGGAAATGAACTCTGCCTTCCTGCACTGGAGTGTCAGCAGGTACACAGAGAAAATATGCTCCTCCTCCTGCTGCTGCTGCTGCTCCCCTCCCATGCACAGGGATCACAGGAGCTGCACCCACCTCCCCACGAAGGGGGGGTCACTTACCGTGTCAGCACCTGCTGCTTGGAAGGGAAGGGATTCCTGGCACCAGCAGCCGAGCACTGCAGCTCCCGGGGCTGGAACACACCTGTACATGGCCATGAACCCTACAGCTGCCTGGGCAAGCCTTACTCACAGCTTTTCATCCCCACAATTCCTCTGCAATTTAAGTGCTGCTCAGGTGAGGTGGAAGGTTCGTCGCTGAACGCTGCTCTCGTTCCAGGGTGAAGGGACGGGACAGGCCCGAGGGATTCACTGTCCAGCTCTGTGGGATTGTGCTCACCAGGGCTGATGCCAGAGTGCTCCTTGCAGATGGCCTGGTTGGAAAAACAGCTCAAAGCAGAGCCCCACCCTGCTCTCCAAAGGTGAGTCTTAGCAGGTGTCAGGTGTCCCCGAGGGAGGTACAGAGCTGGCAGGTTTTAAGCCCCCTGCTGTGCCCAGAAAAAATAGGCTTCCTTCAAGCACTCCTCTCTCCAGTAACATGGTTTTCCTGCAACTGGATTAACTCTTGTCCTGACCACTGCCATTTAGGAACACCTCAGTGTTCTCAGACCAAGAACCCCCTAGGTCTTAAGAGCACAGAGTTCCAATGGTTACAAACTCCTCTTCCCTCCCCTTCCTGGCCAAAACTATTCCAGTGCTTGGAAAGCTTCCTGTGCCAGTTACCCTTTCCAGCTCTTTCTTCCAGTCCCTTTGATCCCCAAACACATTCTCTAGTGAAATAAACTCCATTCTCCTCTCTCCCACAAGAAGACATTTATTACAGATATAACACAGTACTAGCAAAACAGGTGACAGACTTGCAATACCCAAGATCACATTTGACATTTTAAGGGAGGCATTGAGGACAAAGCAGTTAATTTGGGAGATCACACTGGCTCAGAAGAATAAATACCTTTTTCCATTACACATCAGGTATGTTAAGTGTCTTCAAACAATAGTTTCTTACATATCTTACATGTCACAAATGCACAGAAAGTTTTATTGATGTGTTTGGGTTGTGTGTTACTGAGTAAATATTGGGCCTACAGATATTTTAGAGATCTTGGCTTCTAAGGAGCTCATCTGTAGAACAGCTTGGCAAATTTTGAGCAAGTACAGACAAATCAGCTCTGAGCAGCAAAAAAAAGCTGAACCATGTCTAAGTACAATAAATTCAAGAAACATAAAAAGTCTAACTTGCTTCCAACTCCCCCACTCTTGCTGAAAGCATGTCAGTGAAAAAAATACTAAGTAAAAAGCTTCCAAGTGTTTGACCTATGTCATGTTAACTAAAAGCTGTGCTAGTGTTTCAGTCTGCTTTGCAGGTTACATGTGTGAAGTGCAGGCTCTGGGGCTACAGCAAAGCATGGAAATAAACGTGGTGCTTGGTTCTGAGGAGGAGAAAGCAGAGGTACTGCTCGTTCACACAGGTGTGGAGCTGGTGGTGGTGGATGTGGCAGCAGAAGGAAGGCAGGCAGAACAATGACTTCCAGCCTCCACAGCTTCACGCTGTGGTGCAATTATTACATACAACTTATCAAAAGGGTTTAGGAAAGGCTTTAACCAAATAAACTAATCAATTCATCTATCTTTTTCCCCTTAAACAAGTGAATGTTTCAAATTTGTTCACTAGACCAAGATTACACAGAACTCAATCAGTGTTCATAGGAGTTACAGTACAACCACCTTTATGGAACCATAGTACAACAACTTAAACCGACTGGTAGTCTTGAATATGTAATACATCCTTAGGAGTAACTAGTATAAAAAGTATCAACATCAGTGGTTTGAATATAAAAATTTATTTAAAGTCAGAGTATGCAACAAATAAAACCTACAGAAAACAGATTTTCCCATCACAATCTGTTGCTTACCAAATAATATTGTGAAAACACATTCCTTCAGTCATTATAAAGTTCTTAAAATACAAAAGAAATTAAATTTTGTAAGAAAGTCTAGTAGACCAGAGACTGTTTCTTCCAGGTGTTTTGCAGAAGCAAGGCTATCCTTCAATACATCCCACGCCATCCTCCTCCACCCATACTGCCTTGCCCATAGTATCCTCCACTATTTCCACTGCCACGACCTGCAAACAATTGACACAAGGTCATGCATACATACCTTGAAAAAAAGAAAAAATGGGATGGGTAATACAGCAGATGACAACTTCCACTAATGCTGCTCCAGCACCACTCCCTTAACCAGCAGCTGATGCAGCAGCACAATGTGTGAAGCCCCGAGTGCTTCACAGTTTAAATGATTTACTGCCCTCCTTCCTTTCTCCCAGCCCAAAGCCCACCCCCCTTCCCCAGCGTCTGCCAGCAGACAGACAGGAGCAACACTGTCCCAGCAAACACAGAGAACAGAGCTCGGACTTACTGTATCCGCCCAAGCCATCGGGAGTTCCGTATCCGCCGCTGTAATTGCTGCCCATTCCCATCCTACCAACGGAGCCGTAACCTTGATCTGCAGAGCCAAAAGGGCACCATTACAAGCTTGGAACTCATGAGACCTGGCAAAACATCAGCTAAGTGTGCAATCCATGCGTACCCATTCCATCTCTGCCGTAGCCTCCCATTCCAGAGCCACCTCCAGCAGTGGAATTCAGGAATAGTTCAATGTATCGATGCTCTGCAGGAAGCAAGAAAGCTTTACTTTGTATTTTGTTTCACAAAGCAGACTCAGAGGCACAAAGCAAACATCCCTCCACACAACAAGTAGCAGAGAGAACAGCACAAAAAGGCGGGTTTGCCATGTGCCAATGGGCAGGAGCTCAGGGCTGAACCCTGGATGCCCTGCGGAGCCCTGCCCACGGGTGCCAGGGAACACGACACTCACGCATGTGGTTCTTATCCTTAGACATGGCAGCTACTGCGTCCTCGTGTGTCACAAACTCCACATCTGCCTCTCCTGTAGCTCTTCCATCTGCCCCAATATCAATGTGAACTCTTATAGGGTTCAACGGTGAGAAAAACTAAGAATAAAACAAATTAAAAAAATCACATTAACAGAAGTCAAGCCAGGTACTTTTTTCCATCGCTGTGGTTAGTGGTGCACTGCATCAATTAGTGTCGTCCTACCACATTAAATTTCATTACTCATTTCCCAATTAGAGGGATAGGGGACCTTCAACATTGGGTCAACCTACACTGACGATCCATTATTACTACACAGCTTCAAGAGCTGCAGCGACAGAGCTTGAGGAGCTTTCTTTGAAAGCAAATAAACAAACAACTCCTGCCCACACACACTGCTCTGAGCAATACAATCTTATATGATGCCATCCTGGACAAGAAAAAAAATTAGTTGGTTTTTATTTGTCTCTGCTTCTTCAGATTTCTCAAAGCAAGGACACATCCATGGAATTCAAAAAAAGCTACGCATTCATCAGACTGCTCTTCCTCACTGCTCCCAATCAAAGCCTGATGTTTGGCCCTTGTCTCACACAGTCGTTAGACTAAACAAAACAATCAAACTGACACAAGAAAAGGCATCTCAGTTCAAACCAACCAACCCACCCAAAAAAGAAAACAAGCACAAGTTTAAGAATGGAGTTCTTATATATAAATATATATAAGCCTTGTATCCCGACAAAGCTTTTCCCCCTACAAACCCCACATTATGCTGACACAAGAATACATTCCCAAAATCTGCAGATGAAAGAGATCAGGGTGGCAGATAAAAGCTCAAGTAATGGGATACCATCCCCTCCAAACACAGCCCCCTACAGTCTTCACACCCTGCCCCTCCTAAAATAGGCTCAGGTCAACAAATAAATATGCAAACTAAGCAAGCTAAGTTTCACATCTGCTGTTACTTTCGAAACTAGATAAGCTTAAACAAGTTCTGAAAACCTTAAAAAGAGGATACCGAAAGCAGCAACTGTTGTCTCTGCAATACAACTTGTATGGAAACAGAAGAGCACCAAGTAAAAGGATTAATGTTAAATACAGCTTTGCTGACTGCTCTGGTGATCCCACCTCAGACAGTACCTTTAAAAGCTCATTAATTCTGTGCAACTCACAGAAAGGGCCGTGACTTTATGGAGCAGACGTAGCAGTCCCTAGTTTTGAGAACTCTAACCCAGTTTGAACATGCAAACTCCTGGGAGCAGGAGGCCCTTTTCCCCATGGTACTTACGTTAGCAATATCGTTTTCCGTGGCTCGGAAGGGCAGCCCTCTCATGTGAACAAAATGACCGCCACCATGGAACCCCGACCCTGCATCTCCAGTTCCATAGCCATGTCCTCCCATGCCTATTGGGAAACCCAAACCAAAAAAACCCACACACCTCTAAGATCATGAAAGACCAAAAGTCATCGCTATTGTTTTTCTGAAAGCACTGAATTGTACCACTGAATGCTTGATATTTACACTTCCCATGTATCAACCCAAGCCTTAACCAGAAAGCATCCTAAGCCATTTATTTACCCTTTCTTACGAGTCCCCAATTCCCCCCTTTTTAAACAACCTTCTTTCTTTATAAAATAGCACAATGAAGCCATTTTTTGACTTGAAAATACTGTCTTACACTCACATAATAGCAAAAGCTTTTTAAACAAACTGTTAATTTCTTTTACCTCTCCCATCCCTCATTCTGTCGTCATAGCCGTCGTTTCCATAACCGTAGTTATTATAGCCACCATAATCATCAAAGCCACCATACCCTGTGCAAAGGAGAGACAGAAAGGAGCGATTACATTACTGCTCAGAATTCACAGAACCATGCACAACACTCAATTTTGCAGTCTTTAGGCACCCAGCACTTTGCCAACAGCCTCCATGGACTGTTAAACCCGGATTTCTGAACACAGTGCAAAAGTACATTTCTTTTTATATAACAGACTGAAACATGCAAATGAGAGATCATATTCTGCTGAAAGTAGTTTCCTTATTATTTACATTCATCTTGAATAACAAGCCGCATTTTTTGACACACTACGAGTTTTTCTGAGGTCAATACGTCCAACCTAATGGGTGTTGGCAGGTACTGCCATTTCGTTATTTCTTGACAAGTATGTCAGAAACATGACACAACAGAACCTCTGTTCATTAGGTAAACATACCACCGTCATATCCACCACCTCCTCGACGCATTCTGTCATACATACTTCCACGCCCAGCTCCATAATAACCCCCTCTTCCTCCTAATGGTCTATCATATGGTCCAGGTCGCTGTTGTCCCATCATTCTTCTTGGCATGTCAGAGAATCCTCTGATTTCGCTCTTACTACTTTTGAAGATTTCAATATATCTAATAAAAAAGGATTTTCAAGGCACCAGTAAGAACACAGGCAGAAGCTGTCTGAATTTCACAAAAGGCCATACTACGTTTTCTATGACTAAAGGTACAAGCCAATAGCAGTGACTAGAGATACCATACAACTTAAGTTTCTCCTCAAAACCGTAAGAATCTTAAGTGTATTCGAAACCCCCACTTTACAGTGGCAAAAGTCACTATGTGAACATTCTAGCTGTACAAATTAAGCTTAAAACATGTCTTTCCAGTATGAGAAACATACTATTGAAAAACAATGTCTGGCTATAGCAGCATTTATTGCAAATTACCCTACATGAGAACGATTGAAACAATTTTCTGAGTTCAGCAAACTACCCAGAGCAATACTGTCTCCCCCACCCCCCAAATCTACTGTATTTCCCAAATTAACTTAGGATCAGTTATAAAAATTCTTAAAAACAGCCAATTCCCCAATGGTCCCCAACCCCCCAAAAGCATTACTGACCCACAACCCCCAAAAAATAAAGATTTAACACCATCCCAAACTCTCCATCCCCACCTGTGCCCTATTCTTTCCTTGTGTTTCCCCAGAGCATTTTCTGCTATCTCCTTTGAAGCAAACTGCACGAAGGCCTCCCCTGTGCTTCTCCCCTGGTAGTCCAGCGTCAATGTTATCCCATTTGGCACGATTTCCAACCCTTTAACCCAAGGACAAATAACCCCGTCAAGGGGAACAGTGTTAAAGGCTGAAACATTCCCATCTGCAGCAAATACTTAAAGCATATCTAAACAACAACAACGAAAAAGAAAACCACCTTGTTTCCCCCATCACCCAACAATACAAGCCAATGATCTTTCATTAAACATTTATGGATTTAGCCATACTTCTTTTCTTGTTTAGACTATGCAAAAATACAACCACCTAAGTTACATGAAGAAAATATTGCTACCCATCAAGCAGTTTAACTGATCCAAATGCTAACATTCAGGTTACCCCAATATGCAAAATATCTTTACCACCTCGACAAAATTAGATACATTCTGTGTTTTACTACATCTCTGGTTACTTGTGCTTCATTTACAGGGCATAATTCTTACTTAAGACAAACTAACTTAACACAATCCCTCCCATCCTCCCCATTACCCACTATTAAAAATGTGCAAAACATCGTGTAAAAGACACAAGAAAGCTCTAAAGAAACCCACTACACTTCGACTATACTAGAGGTACCTTGGAAAAACTGAACAATCTCTTCTTTGCTGCAACCAAATGGCAGGCCCCGGAGTCGTACCACCGTCCCATCATTGGTCGTGTCATTGGGCCCATTGTGTTTGCCACTCCAATCCATTTTTTATTTAAATCAAATCCTGGGAAAAACCGAAACAAAAAAATAAAGAAAATTGAGATTCCCTCCATGCCTAAGTCCCTGCCCTCAAAGGAAATCCTTTCCTCGAAGGAAATCTGGCGGGTTTTCTCAGACAACAAGCGTTATGGATAACGAGCTTGATTTGTGTCATGTATGTAAAACTGTGCTCCCTGGCACGCTCGCACACATGGACACCCATCCCAGCGGGATGGAAGCCCGCGCACGGCGCGGGGATGGCGGGCAGCACGTGAGCAGGCCCGGCACATAAAGCTCGGTATTTACTCAGAGCACATTTCACATCCGCTCCGTGAGGCTTTGTAGGGTTTTTTTGGTCTGTTTGTTTTTTTTTTTTTGGGGGGGAAGGGTGTTTTCTTTTTTTTTCCTTTTTGCCTTTTTTAAAAGCAAGACAGTTGAGGAGGGGGCTTCAACCACAAGGCCTTCCTTTGTCTGCCCTCAGCCGGGGGCGGCGAAGGGGGGTGGGTGTGTGTGGGGGGGGCGTGTGGCGGGGGCACCACCACCGTGCCACAAAGGGAGCCGCGGCGGCCGCCTCGTCAGGTGCGGAGCCCTCGCGATGCCGCCTCCCGCCGTGCTGCCGACAGCGCGGCCCTGACCCCCCGCCCGCTCCCCGCCGCCATTTACCGCGCCTCGCCGGCGCGCCCGCCTCCCGCCCGCCCCGCTCGGGCCGCGCTGCCCGCCGCGCCCCTCTCGTCCCGCCGGAGCTCAGCTGACCTGTGTTGTGCTGTGCTGTGCCGCCCGGCCCGCACCCCCTCGGCCGCTCCGGGACCCCCGCCCGCCGCTGTTCCGGGGCCGCCGCCGCCCTCGGCTCCGCCGCTCAAAATGGCGGCCGCGATCGGGAACGAGGCTCTGCACCGCCCCGCCTCCCCCCCGCCGGCCCGCGCCTGGGCCCGGTACGGCTGGACGGCGCGGGCAGCGCTGCCCCCGCATCCCCCCCTCCGTCCGGCCCCCGCAGCCCCCCGGGCGGGCCCCGCACACCTTCCCCCCCATCCCACTCACCGCGAGTCCCTCCGCACCCCTGGATGTGCCCCGGCAGCCGCTCACGCCGGGCAGGACGCGCCTCGTCACTCCCTCACAGGACCGGCCGGCGGGACCCGCACCTGCGCAGCGCCCACGGGCAGCAGAGCGTCCAGGCCGCGCGACTATCGCGATAGCCGCGCCGCGCACCGCCTCTCCTCTGCCTGGGAGGCACCCGCGCACGCGCGATGGGGGACGGTGGTGGCGGGAGGGCACGTGGCGCATGCGCAGTTCCGAGGAGAAGGCGGGGGGGCGGTGCCCGCTTGGTCCTTCGGCCGCCGATGCCGCCGGGGGGCGCGCGTGCGCTCCTGCCGCGGGTACGGGGCCGCCGCCGTGCGCTTTGGCGCCCCGCGGGAACGCGCGCGGCCTGGCCACCGCCTCACGCCGCCATCGCCTCCAGTCGGGCCTTGGAGCGCGGGTCTCGCTCGGGGCGCCCCGCGGCCCCGGCACAGCCCTGGCAGGGAGGCTGCCCAGGGTGGGCGCACGCAATGGCTACCCGCGGCACCGCTGGAGCCCGGCGGGGTCCCGCCTCCCTCACTGGGGGACGCGCCGGGCCGGGCGCTGTGCTGGGAGGGCCCGTGGGGGCGTTCAGGAGCTGGTGGCGAGCGGTGCCAGAGGGAGGCTGAACTCTGTGTTTTAATTTAAAACCCCAGTGCAGAGCGCCGGGGCCCTGCAGGGAGCCTCGGGCCGGGCCGGCGCTCGGAAGTGACGGGAGGGACCCTCTGGCTCCTCCTGCCCTCAGGGAAACATTAACTTGGAGCTCTGCTGTCGTTTGGGGTAGAGAAGGTTAGAAAGTACCCTGCAGGGCACAGCCTGTGGCTGAGCAGGCTCAAAGGACAATGCAGATCCCAGTTTTTACGGTTGATGCCTTTACAAACCGGCCGTTTTCTGGAAATCCCGCGGCAGTTTGTCTGCTTGAAAATGTAAGTGAGAAAAGCCC